CTTAAAAGAAAAAGGTAAAGAAAGAAAATCTAATGAAAAAAGGTTCGAAAAAAAGGCCTAATGTCAAATAGGTCGAATTAAAAAAAAGGTCAAGAGAAAGAACATCTAATGGGATAAAAAAGGTCGAATTTCAAAGAAAAGGTCAAGAGAAAAGAAATCTATGGGGTCAAAAAAGGTCGAATTTTTAAAGAAAAAGGTCAAGAAGAAAAGAAAATCTAATGGGTCAAAAAAGGTCGATTTTAAAGAAAAGGTCAAGAAGAAAAACATCTATTGGGATCAAAATAGGTTGAAATTAAAAAAAAAAAATGGTCAAGAAAGAAATCTAATGGGGTCAAAAAGGTCGATTTTAAAGAAAGGTCAAGAAAGAAAAAATCTAATGGGGTCAAAAAGGTCGAATTTTAATGAAAAGGTAAAAAGAAAGAGCATCTATTGGATCAAAATAGGTTGAAATTAAAAAAAAAAAAAAGGTCAAGAAGAAAGAAAATCTAATGGGTAAAAAAAGGTCGAATTTTAAAGAAAAGGTCAAGAAGAAAGAAAAATCTAATGGGGTCAAAAAAGGTCGAATTTTTAAAGAAAAGGGTCAAGAGAAAGAAAATCTAATGGGGTCAAAAAAAGGTCGAATTTTTAAAGAAAAGGTAAAAAAAGAAAACATCTATTGGGATCAAAAATAGGTTGAAATTAAAAAAAAAAAGGTCAAGAAAGAAAATCTAATGGGGTTCAAAAAGGTCGATTTTAAAGAAAAGGTCAAGAAGAAAAGAAAATCTAATGGGTCAAAAAGGTCGATTTTTAAAGAAAAGGTCAAGAAAAAAGAAAATCTTAATGGCGTCAAAAAGGTCGATTTTTAAAGAAAAGGTCAAGAAGAAAGAAAATCTAATGGGGTCAAAAAAAGGTCGAATTTTAATGAAAAAGGTAAAAAAGAAGAGCATCTATGGGATCAAAAAGGTTGAAATTAAAAAAAAAAAAAGGTCAAGAAGAAAGAAAATCTAATGGGTCAAAAAAGGTCGAATTTTAAAAGAAAAGGTCAAGAAGAAGAAAATCTAATGGGGTCAAAAAAAAGGTCGAATTTTAAAGAAAAGTCAAGAAGAAAGAAAATCTAATGGGGTCAAAAAAGGTCGAATTTTAAAGAAAAGGTAAAAAAGAAAAAGCAATCTATTGGATCAAAATAGGTTGAAATTAAAAAAAAAAAAGGTCAAGAAAGAAAATCTAATGGGGTCAAAAAGGTCGATTTTTAAAGAAAAGGTCAAGAAGAAAGAAAATCTAATGGGGTCAAAAAGGTCGATTTTTAAAGAAAAGGTCAAGAAGAAAGAAAATCTAATGGGGTCAAAAAGGTCGGGGTCAAGAAGAAAGAAAATCTTAATCGAATTTAAAAAAGGTAAAAAGGTCTATTGGGATCAAAATAGGTTGAAATTAAAAAAAAAAAAAAGGTCAAGAAGAAAAGAAAATCTAATGGGGTCAAAAAAGGCTGAATTTCAAAGAAAAGGTCAAGAAGAAAGAAAATCTAATGGGGTCAAAAAAGGTCGAATTTCAAAGAAAAGGTCAAGAAGAAAGAAAATCTAATGGGGTCAAAAAAGGTCGAATTTTAAAGAAAAGGTAAAAAAGAAAAAAAGCATCGGATCATAGGTTGAAATTAAAAAAAAAAAAAAGGTCAAGAAAAAGAAAATCTAATGGGGTCAAAAAGGTCGATTTTTAAAAAAGGTCAAGAAGAAAGAAAATCTAATGGGGTCAAAAAGGTCGATTTTTAAAGAAAAGGTCAAGAAGAAAGAAAATCTAATGGGGTCAAAAAAGGTCGGAAAAGGTTAATCAAAAAGGTCAAGAAGAAAGAAAATCTAATGGGTCAAAAAGGTCGAAAAAGAAAAGGTCAAGAAGAAAGAAAATCTAATGGGGTCAAAAAAGGTCGAATTTCAAAAGAAAGAAATTAATGGGGTCAAAAAAGGTCGAATTTTAAAGAAAAGAAAAAAGAAAGGGTCAAAATCAAGAAAAAAATCTAATGGGTCAAAAAGGTCGATTTTTAAGAAAAGGTCAAGAAGAAAGAAAATCTAATGGGGTCAAAAAAGGTCGAATTTTAAAGAAAAAGGTCAAGAAGAAAGAAAATCTAATGGGGTCAAAAAAGGTCGATTTTTAAAGAAAAGGTCAAGAAGAAAGAAAATCTAATGGGGTCAAAAAAGGTCGAATTTTAAAGAAAAGGTAAAAAAGAAAGAGCATCTATTGGGATCAAAATAGGTTGAAATTAAAAAAAAAAAAAAAAAAGGTCAAGAAGAAAGAAAATCTAATGGGTAAAAAAGGTCGAATTTTAAAGAAAAGGTCAAGAAGAAAGAAAATCTAATGGGGTCAAAAAAAGGTCGATTTTGAAAAAGGTCAAGAAGAAAGAAAATCTAATGGGGTCAAAAAAGGTCGATTTTTAAGAAAAGGTCAAGAAGAAAGAAATCTAATGGGGTCAAAAAAGGTCGAATTTTAAAAGAAAAGGTCAAGAAGAAAGAAAATCTAATGGGTCAAAAAAGGTCGATTTTTTAAGAAAAGGTCAAGAAGAAAGAAAATCTAATGGGGTCAAAAAAGGTCGAATTTTAAAGAAAAGGTCAAGAAGAAAGAAAATCTAATGGGGTCAAAAAAGGTCGATTTTTAAAGAAAAGGTCAAAAGAAGAAAATCTAATGGGGTCAAAAAAGGTTGAATTAAAAAAAAAAAGGTCAAGAAGAAAGAAAATCTAATGGGGTCAAAAAAGGTCGAATTTTAAAGAAAAGGTCAAGAAGAAAGAAAATCTAATGGGATAAAAAAAGGTCGAATTTTAAAGAAAAGGTCAAGAAGAAAGAAAATCTAATGGGGTCAAAAAAGGTCGAATTTTAAAGAAAAGGTCAAGAAGAAAGAAAATCTAATGGGGTCAAAAAAGGTCGATTTTTTAAGAAAAGGTCAAGAAGAAAGAAAATCTAATGGGGTCAAAAAAGGTCGAATTTTAATGAAAAAGGTAAATAAGAAAGAGCATCTCATGGGTGACACAAACGGAAGAAAATGTCAACATTAGTTCAATATGAAAGAGATGACAGATCGTAGTCTATGTATCATACTTTAACAAATCCGAGAAACATGTTTAACAGACTGATTCATAGTCCATGTATTATGCCAGGATAAATCTGAGAATGT